AGGGATCCCAGACAGGACCAGCTCCATAATTTGTGAGGCCCAGTGCAAGATGAAAATTCTGGGCCCTTGTTAAAAAACATTATTATGAATTTCAAGATGGCAACGCAGAGCATTAAACCACATGCATGACCCATCTGAGCACATGTACAGGTTGCATGCCCAGGAAGCCAGCCTCGATCCTAGGACATTGGAGCTCAAAGGGACATCAGAGGGCAACTATTCATAGATTATGGTGGTTGCACTTTGAAGACTGGCTCTGCCACACTTCTCAGCTGACTACCTGAAGTGAGAGTGCAGTCGACTCTGGCAGGCCTGGAGAAGGGCCCCACCAGGAGTGTCTGCTTCTCCAACTTGGCATGAGTTGCTAGACTGTGCACTTTCTGGATCTAAAGAACAAGTCTGGATGCACAAGCCACTCAGCTCCAGCCCACTCCCCACCTCTCCCAGTACCTGGATATTATTTTTAGGTGACTCGTGGTGGAGAGGTTCGACTTGTAATTTTCATGTCTGAGGATGAGGTTTCACAGGAAATGTTTCAAAGAATTTAATACAATGCACCACACGCATATGAACAAGGGTATGTTGGCTTTGTTCTTGTTGCCTTACCATTGAGTATTTCTGTTCTTAGTCTCTCTCTCCTTCTCACTGCTCCTTCCTAACTCAGTTTTCTCCACCTTCACAATTCTCTCTTGTGCCGGTTCCTGAGCCCCTCACTGCCACACGGAATTTCTTTCCCTCATTTGCTGCCAACCCCTCTGGTTCTCTACAATGAATGAGTTTGTGTTGTTACCAGTTTCTTTTTAGTTTTTTCTAGACTCCCTTCTTTTACTCTTTGCTCTGATTAGATTCTCCTAATTTTTAGACCTTGAATCTAAGGACTGACTTTCTCCCTTTGTCCCTCTGAACTGATCTCACAGCGTAACTCATACTTAATCATGGCTCCTGCCTTCCTGTTGTTTTCTCAACCCTCTCCTCAGACTTCCATCTTCATTAGATTGGTAAAGGGTCAGGAAATAAGTGACTGGCCACTCTGAATGCCTTAGCTCATTGATCTTCTGTCTTAGTTGTACTTACCCTCCCATCTTCTTAGAGCTTTACTTGGTTTAGATGTCTAATCCTTTTATATTGCTGAGAGGAAAATCATCCACTGTACTCCCCTGCCCCAAAGTAAAAAGAAAACCTGCACATAGTATGTGCATGATCTGCCTGCATTGGAAGATGAAATGAAGAAGACATTGGAAGTTAAACCACGTAGCGATTTAGCTACCAGGTGGTGCCTGGGTTAGCCGAGGTCAGCCTGGTTGTGCTATGAGGTGGCCTCAGGGTGGGCGGGTGCACAGCTCATAGGGAAGGCATGGTTGAACAATGCGCCTATTGTTCAGAATAACCAAGTCTATCTATAGACACTGGTAATGAATCAAATGCCTGACTTTTCCTTGTGTCCTTTTGAGTTACAGAGAACATTCATGAAAACTGTGCCAATGATCAAGTCAACTTACTTGACTTCAGTCACTAGAATTCAGGTCTTAGAAATGTGGGGTTGGACTTACACATTTATTTTAATGTTTGGTTCAATATACATTTTTTTTTTTGGCTAGAATATATCTTTTGTTTTCTTTCTATACCTTTCTCTCTCCCTCATCTAATTTACTAATAGATGGGCCAATCCTTTCTTCATAAAGATAGGGCATTGCTCTCATTTGTCTTATTAACTATTTTCCAGGCATGATTTTTATCACCTCATAGGTGTATAGACATTGGGTACTGAGTAACTGCTTGTTGAACGACTGTGTACTAGCCACCTGGCTGGCTCTATCTGATAGTGTCAAAACGTGGTAATACATCCTCTCCATAAGTGCTAGATAGTTCTTCTTCATCATTTTAGAGGTAAAAATAAAGACAACTCCTGAGAAATTCTCCCAAATATCTTACCATCCAAGATGTTACACCTCTTGATTTACTCCCCCAAACTCTACAGTGGAAATATTGTTGAAACCACGAGGTGCAGCTTTTTTTGTAAATCTCTGATGGGTGGAAGATATTTAAAGTAAAATCCAGAACCAAGAAGATTTGGGTTGCTGAAAAAGAAAGAACGACTGTGCGGTGAAGGGCCTTGAGTGAAATGTACATACATATACATTTGCGTGCACACGTATGTGGTAGCCTAAGGACAGCCCTTTAACATGCCACCAAACGAGGATCAAGCTTGGCTTACCTTCAGCTTCAATCACCACACTTGTGGTTTTGGCCATTTTGCAGAAATGATATTTTCCCTCTCGTTTAGAATCTGCTGCTTTATAGTGCATTTTCTCCATTGCAGGGATTGTGGGAGCCATTATCCTGGTGCCATTAGCCTTCTCATTTTGGAAAACCCCATCCCTCGTGATAATGAAAACAACTTGAAGATCTCACATCCATTTTTCTAATGCCCTGCACTTTCTATCTCTGCATACTCATGTGCTTCTTCCACCTAGAGTTCTTCTCCATCTCTGCCTGGCCAACTCTATCTACTCCTAAAGGCCCAGATCAAAATGCCACCATCCTCATGAGGCCTTTGTCAGTCCTCGCCAGCAAAATTAATCTCTTCCTTGTCTCTTCTTCTCTAGCTTTTGGTTTATGCCTCTTCTAAAGCAGGGATCATGGTTTGTCTGGCCCAAGAGCAGCTCATTCCCAGGAAAGGTCTCAACTCTTCCAGCACTGCAGTCAGATTCAAAGTAAGGACGATTACTTGCTGGATCTTACATTCTTCATGGGGCCCAACAAAGTGCCTTGTGTATAATAGGTTCTCAGTAACTATTTGTTGAATTAAATTTGTTTACATGTTATACATGTTTATAAATGAGAGAGCACTGCCTTATATGGTTTACAAAAAAAAAATCTGTTGGGATGAAGACAGACAAGTTGAAGAGTTACGTCTTACACAATGAGGTTGTGTCATTGAGACTTTTGGAAAGCCTCTCGGAATTTATGCTTCCTAAAGTTCCTGCTGCTCTAGCGTTTTGCCCTCATGCTAAAAGGCATCAGAATGGGTTTTGATAAAAACAGAATATTTTTAGGCATTCTAATCAGCCCAGCTCTGACAAATTCCTGGCCTTTGGTATGTGCTGCTGAGTAATGTCAGATGCTCACACGTACACACAATGACATTTACAAGGCCTGAGGTGGGCTCAGCCAAGTTCACAAACAAAGCCCCCTTTTGATTGGTTCACCAGAACTTCCTCAGATGCCTTTATGGTTTGCTACTAGAGGAACTGACAGGCTGCTGGGACCAAACGAATTTCCATTCATTTCTTCACTCCTGGAAATAACATCTGCATACAAGGGTCAGGTACTCCGTGAAGTTTTGGACTCACAAGGACTCAGTCGTATTCACTCATATTCAACTGTGTGAGGGGGACCTCGGGCCCCCTGGCGTTGGCACTGATGGAGTCTGCGTGTAGGGCTAGGGCTGTTTAAGAACTCTCTGGAGTAGGATTCGTACAAACGAACGTGAATAGGTCTCCACTCCAAACACGTACTGGACGATCTCAGAAAATCCAGATAAAAATCCAAGAGGCCTACTCTCTTCTTTATGAAAAATGTTACCTTTTGCCTAAAATAAAATAAAATAAAGAGAAAGCACTCTTTTATTTTTGCACTCCATAAAAACACCTGAATATATTTAGCAACCTCTGCAATTCCACTGCATTGTAGATAGGGGGGCATCCCAAAAAGGAGAGAGCGGGACAGTGTGTGTGTGTGCGTGTGCATGTGTGTGTGTGTGTGTGTGTGTGTGGAAGGACTGAATCTGTCTAGACAAAAATAATAGCTAGGTAGGTTATAGGAAAGAATTTTATAAGACTAAACAAAATGAATTCTATTTCCAAAATAGAGCTGTCTTATGAAAGATATTTCTTTTCACATTATGTAGTTAACCCTATGAGAGTTGTGAGTAGCTACTTCCAGAGATGAAGTCCTGCTGGGAATTCAAATCGCCACTCTTAAAGGCTCATACAGGCTTTCCGAGTTCCTGGGCAGTTTTCCAGTTAAGGCCCAGGGTACCACCCATTGCACCTTTTCTTCACCTGCTGAGAATGTTCAACAGTAGGCTCCCATCAGGGCTCCATGGGATGGGGAGGACCCTGACAGTCTGGAATGCAGGCCAAATGCAGGAGGGCACGTACTTTTACAATTGAGGGCACTTAGGCATTCTGGAAACATCTAAGCTGTGTCCCAGCACCTTTTACCTCTAAACCCTGATGCATCGTTATCGTTAAGTTCTGAAGTCATTCTGTGGAAATGAGGCTGTGGCGAGGCCCATTCAGAGGGCAGCCATGGATGGAGAAGGATGGGATCCCTCTGCACACGGGGACGTCTGGTAATACCTGCCGCAAACCGCCTGGCCTCTGCCTTGAGTCACCGCGCTGGGACAGTGGGATGGTCCTGGCTGCAAGCTTTGGGTGGTAGCACCTCCACCTTACATTGTACAGTGATTTCTACTTTTCAAGTTCTTCTCACACTCACTGTCTGTAAAATAACCCTGGGAAGCATGCAGAACTGGCTTTATCCCTTTCTTCTCTCTTCTTTTCCCCATCAGAGGAAGACACGTCTAAGGAAACATGGTCAGTAAAAGACCAAGTTGAGAGTGTAGCCTGACAGCTCATTCAGGACTCTGCCCACTGTGTGCAGGCACCAGTACCCACAGCCAGGCAAGTTCTGTCTTTAGATGGAATAATGCAAGCAGGGCCATGTGAGCACCTGTGGCTAATTGAAACACTTCCATTTTTTTTATAGTAGAAGAGGAAAACATGTATCTATATGGCAAGAAGAATAATTTTCTAGAAGAAGCTTCCAGGTTATTGTAGGGCATTTCTATGTCTGAGGTACGACTGGGCAGTCTCACATACCTCATTTAAAAATGTCTTAGAGGGACTTCATGACGTCAGAGACAACGCACAGCTGGGTGAGGTGTTATTTACAGAAATAGCAGCTGTTTATTTGGTCTTTTAAGCTCTCATGAGGATGAGTTGACTCACTCTGGTTGTTAGGAGGACCCAGCGGACCAGATGATGATCCTGCTTTCAGGTATTTTGAATTTTTATTTGTTTCAGCTCTGTAAGAATGGACTTTTTTGCTTTGGGGCCAACTAGTCTATTTACTGGCAAATAGGAGCTGATAAAATGTAGGTTAGAAACTGGTTTCACATCTTAAATGCAACAACCAAATTTTAGAGATTTAAACAAGTTGAGTGGGAACCAGTCATTTTACAAACAGGATACGAGACTAACTGATTTAGACTTAGTAAAAGAGTTTTATCTTCTGTTCAATTTACCATTTTTCTATAGCCTCTCTGTGAACTAAAGTTATTTTTTTTTAAACAGAACTTTTGGTCACAGCGGTTCTGAAAAGAACAAAGATGTTAAAAATTGGCTTTTTAATTTTTCTGTTTAAATCTTCATTTGTAACATCTCTCTGCCTTCAACCAACTGCTGGCTTTAGGTACAGGGTATTTCAAAAGAAAATGAAAAGAGAAATATTTTAAGTCTACTCCTTCTAGAATAATCTGTCGCAGAGTTTTTACTTAGCACATGGTACCTATATTAACTAACCGTCTTCTCTATCAATCATTCTAAGCTCAACAAAGTCCCTTTGAACAGTAGGTGTGTTTACAAGCATCATGCAAAATGATACCTGGTTCTTTTCAATGTCATTTAAGAATCTGTAGATTTGATAGGATGCCAACAGCCCTCAGAAGTATTAGGCAATGAATGCCTTAGGAGTTCCCTGTGTCACGATCGTGAACTAATGTATCTTAATGTTCTTTGGAGTCTCCAAACATGGTGAGTTTGGAAGAGCTGGCTGAAAAGTTGTGTAACTAATATCTAAGGCCCAGCTGTACTTTTGTTGCCCGAAATTCTTTCTTTCATTTTTTGCAAGAGAGACTGAACCAGCTTCTACACTTGACTCAGACACCAATGAGTTGTATGAACCTGGAAATTCACTTAATTCCTCTGAGACTTTGTTTTCTAATCTGTGGAGTGGGTTTGGCATAGTAGACATCAACGGTTGTTTTCAAAGCTATTAAATTAGTCTATTAAATCGTCACATTCTGTACTGTGATGTTCTATACAACAGTGGCTCACAAAGTGAGAACCTTACAGCTAAGGATGACAAATCTAAAGAGAACCTGCTTTCATACTTAAAAGTTTTTTCTTTTCTCTCAAAACTCATTCTATAATAAGATTTTCAGGTGCTTCTTTTTTCTTAATTTAACCTAGATATGTGACTGAATTCCTTCATATATGAATATATTTCTCCACTGTGTTATGAACACCATAAATTAACACACTGTCTGTGAATTTCAGAAATATTACCTGGCCATTATTTCTTTCTGCCTTCAAGCTGAGCATAGATTATCTGTTCTTGGCAAAGCAGGGGCCCATTCAAACAGGTTGGTTAAAATAACAGTGATAAAAGGATTGACAATAACTGATTATTTTTATTTCTCAGCTGGTTGTTTGGGTGTGAGTTTGCTGTCTTGTCAGAGATTATGCCAATTTTTGGAAGAGAATGTCAGTGTTACAGAGACATGAAAACACCTCTGATGTTCTTGTAAGAGGTGCACACACTTTCTCTGGCCATACTCATTCTCATTTCTTGATAGACTGATCTGTTAAATTGGCTGAGGGCCATGTCCTTCTAGCCTTCTCCTGACATATTCATCTTGCTTTGGAAATTACCACCCTCTTAGTGCTGAGAGCAAAGACCATGTTATAATAGCAAGATTGCCTCTTAGAGGCTCATACTACGAAGATCAAGGTCAAGGTTGCCAAGTGCTTAACCGTATTGCTATTCACACCTCTTGATTCGACTCTTAAACTTACAAAAATAGCTTTTTGGAGTAGTTTTAGGTTCACAGCAAAATCGATGGGAAGGTACAGAGATTTCCCATATACCTCCTGCCCCCACACATGTATTGTCTCTTCCTTTATCAACATCCCCCACCTCAGTGGTACATTTGTTATAATTGATGAACCTACAGTGACACATCCTAATCACCCAAAGTCCGTAGTTTACATTAGGGTTCACTCTTGATGTATATTCTATGGGTTTGGACAAATGTATAATGACATAAACCCTTCATTATAGTATTACCCAGAGTATTTTCACTGCCCTAGAAATCCTCTGTGTTCTGCCTATTTATCCCTCCCCCTCACCCACCCTCTGGCAACCACTGATCTTTTTACTGTCTCTATAGTTTTGCCTAGAATGTCATAAAGTTAGAATCATACAGTATGTAACCTTTTCAGATTGGTCTGTTTCACTTAGTAATATGCATTTCAGATTCTTCCATGTCTTTTTGTGGCTTCATAGCTCATTTCTCTTTAGTATTGAATGATATTCCACAGTCCGGCTGTACCACAGTTTATTTACCCATTCTCCTACTGAAGGACATCTTAGTTGCTTCCGAGTTTTGGCAATTACGAATAAAGCTGCTACGAACACCCGCATGCGGGGTTTTGTGTGGACATACATTTTCAACTCCTTTGGGTAAATACCAAGAAGGATGATGGCTGGATCGTATAGTAAAAGTATGTTTAGTTTTGTAAGAAACTGCCAAACTCTCTTCCAAAGTGGCTGTACCATTTTGCATTCCCACCAGCCATCAATGAGAGTTCCTGTTGTTCCACATCCTTGTCAGCGTTTGGAGTTGTCACGGGTCCAGATTTTGGCCATTCTAGACTCTTAAACTTTTTAAGCAGTGACGTGGCTGTTAGAAATGTTTTGTGGAATTTTCACTGTGTGTCTTGTATGCCAAGAAAGAGATTTGTGCTCTCAAGTATCTTAAAATGGACTCTGGAAGCAAGTACCTTTGAGCCTCCAACCTTGAGGAAGTTATTTCAACTTTCTGAGCCTCAGTTTCCTCCTCTAGAAAATGCGACAACAATAGCACCTACCTTATAAGTTCTTGTGAGAAAATATGTGCGGAACAGTGCTTATAAGTATATACTATTATGATTATAAAGATATTGATCATTATTTTTACTATTGAGAAGCAAATCACATTCTTCTTTCTGATGGAGGCATAGAATCACAGGATTTTAGGGTTCTAAGGGCCCTTAAAGGTTAGCTAGCCCAACCTCTTGGCCAATGCCCGAATCTCCTACGATAGCAATGTTAAGAAGTGGAACAAACCTGGAGAGCTGAACACAGCCCACCACTGGGTGGGCAAATTCACCCTGGCTGAGGAATCTGAAATACCAGGTCTCCAAAATCTGATGTCTTAAAAGCAGATCACAAAGTGCCTGGTGTTTATTGTACATCAAGATTTATCAAAAATGTAGACCAATCTGCTCAAGCATAGATGATTTAGTGGTTTTGGCAACATGAATAATTCAGCTGCCCTCCAAGTATTTGGAGAAATCAAACTAGAAAATGGAAATTCTATAAAAGTTCTAAGGAACAGGGCAGAAATATTCCCACCCCACCCTTACAGTCTCCCCTCTGAGAGCGGAAAGAGGGACCAAGTTTTAAACGCAGCTTAGCTCCTATAATTGATAATTCTGCATGTTTTGCCAGAAGATGGAATATTTCTTTCCATTTCTCTATTTTCACTTCACATATTCTGTGTCCAGAATCTTTTTGATTCCCTGGAATTTTCTGTAAGAAACCCAGATATTCCAGCAATAATTCTCAAACCTCACAGAATCCTCTAAAAATAACTTGAGGAAAAGAATTGAACCCAAGTGGTCCAATACTTGAAGGAAACTGGTGTAAAAACAATGATATTGTCAAATGAAAAAGAACTTACTCCAGTCTACAAGATTCGCTACAAGTGTCTATAAATCCACAAGCACAGGATACTTCTGTTGTCTGGAGGAATTTTCCCTCCAACGTTTTCAGAATTATGTAACATGAAAATTCATTTTAAACTAGTAATGTGGTAAGAGTATTGTGACTCTGGAATGTAACTTCATCTTCATTTCTGGAAGTTTCTTTTGAGGGTTGGGTACTACTAAGGCGTGTGTGTGTGTGTGTGTGTGTGTGTGTGTTTTATGTAGGATCATCCAAAGTAAGCTAATGTGTATTTCCATCATTGCCCATGGGTTTGGAAGGTTTTAAAGCCGTTCTGTGCAAACTGCAATAAATCCCGCACAGACTCAGAGAAGGAGCTGCTAAGCAGAAGGATCTGCTCCAGCATTTTAACAGATGAGTACAGTGGGGCTCAGTGAGGCTCAATAAGCAGGCTACAGCCATACAATCAGAAAGACAGAATGTGGCTCCTGCTCTGGGTCTTCAGCGCAAGTCTAGATTTGCTCCCATCCACTCTTACACTTTCTCCTCCCCAGGACATAGCCACCCCCCATATCTGAGCATTATTTTAAATTCATCTTCTCCCCTCCTCTTCCACATTGAAAGCATCACCTACACCTGTAGACTCCACGGCCACAACATACACAACAGATCCCTCCAGATCTGCCCATCCCCATTCCTGTCAGTAGAGAGCATCTTCCCATCCTGTGCCATTGCAAGTGATTTCTGCCTGGGGATCGTACTCCGTTCTTTTCTCCTTAATACTCTTTCTCCATAGAGGAGCCAGAGTGATCTTTTTAACAGGCTTAAAGTCTTCCAAAGGCTTTTCTTCCCACCTACTATAAAATCTCCACGCTGGGCTGGCTTATCCAGTCACCCAAGGTGCAGCCAGGCCTGGCTCTCAGACCTCTGTCCGCCATCCTCTCCCTTCCCTTCTTCACTCCTGACGACAGGCCTTGTGTGTGCTCCTCAAGCACGTCAAGATGCTTCCCGTCTCAGGCCTTTTCACCAGCTCTTATGTCTTTCTGGAATGTTCTCTCTTCATAGAACTTCACATAGATAATTTTTTTTTTTGATTGGCTGTAGCTTAATATCACCTCTTTTCAGTCCACTTACTATAAAATAGCCTCTCAGTCACTTTCTATCACATCACTCTATTTTGCTTCTCAATATAGCTTATATATTTTATAAACTATATTTACCACACATATATTCCTTTTTTGAAAACATCTATTATCTGTTTTTCTCCTTCATATTGCATGTATGGTAGTGAGCAAGGTCATTGCTTGTCTTATTCACCTCTGCGTTCTCTGTGCCCAGCAATACTTGTGAATGAATGCAGGCTGGTGCTATGTCTAATTTTTCTTATCTCACAGCATCACACTTTCTTGCTATCATCCGGCTTAATGAAAGGACAGGGGTTCACGCAATGGCGAGGAACGGACTCTGAAGCCAGATATGCAGGGCTCCAGTCCAAGCTCAGCTACTCACTAGCTGGGCTGCTTTAGACAAGTTAATTCCTTGGAAACTCAATTTCCTCCTCTGTAAGACAGATAGGCTAATAATAGTATCCACCTCATGGAGTTGTTGAGACAATAAAATGTGTAAACCTGGTAACATTGATAAAATACACAGAACCTTGTCTGCCACAGAGTAAGCCCATGTCAATGCCAGTCCTTCCTCCTGTAGGATGTGTCTATATTATTCATATCCACACAGTTTTGTTATATATATAAAACATGACATTTATTACTTATTATATATGTCTACATTATATATATAGTGTTAGCTGTTTTTATCATTCTCGTATTTGATAGAGTAGCAAATAAAACGTGTTACAAGATTTGTGAAATGCCAAATACTAAATGTCAACCACTCCTCCCTCTCTCCATTTCCCCTCCTTCCCCCGCCCCCTTCCTCCTTCTCTATTTTAAATAGCTTTTATTTATTTGTTGTAAGAGCACTCAACGTGAGATCCAGCTTCGCAACAAAGTTTTAAGCTCACAGGGCAGTATTGTTAACTACAGGCACGATGCCGTACGGCAGATCTGTAGAGCTTGCTCTTCTGCTGTAACTGAACTTTATGTAACATTTTTAGAGGAAGTAAACAGCCGCAGTAGAACATGCTGTTACGACAAACGTCCTGGAGGTGGCAGCAGAGGTCTAAGGTTTGGAAAACGCTCCAGGGTTCTTGTAGACACGATACGTGATTTGAAGGGGGTGGGAAGGGTTATCCCATGGGCCTGTTTTTGTATTTTAAAATTCCCTTTCATTATTATTATTGCTGGGAAGGGGTGTGTCTGGATATTTCGGGAAGCTGCTCCAATGCAAATGATATCTGGGAAGCGGGAGCCAGTTATTATTCATTAAAACCTCAGACAAAATGAGAGCGTTAGTGCATAATAGGATGCAAGGAAGTTGAAGCCTTGGTGGAGGCCACAAAGAGGGTGAGAAGCAGGAAGAGAAGGACTTGGGTCTGCGCGGGCATGTCCCTTGGCTCCAGGACTCCTTGATCTGTAGGGAGGGGCACAGCCAGGGGAAATCAGAGCTGAACCGTCTAAATGGGAGGCGTGGGGAGCAGAGCAGGATCCCTTCTCGTCCGGGTCTAAGGCGGTGAACGCCTGGAACAGCCTCATCCATAAGCTTTAAATAGCATGTAGATTCTACAATGTCTATGCGTACAAATCGGATTCTCTGTATCTGTTAGCGATCAGGGAAGTAATAAATGGGCAAAAGGAGACCTGGAACATTGTCAAGGGTTGGGATAGTCCCTCTCCAACGGACTATACAGTGCATATAACAGGACTAAAGTGAAATACTTTGTATAGACCACCAGATGACAGTATTGCCCCACAAAATGCTACACCAACCAGTTCCCTCTTGTAAGCTCAGTCAAACGCCTACAGTCACATGTGTTTCCCATTTGTGGCAGTAATTGAAATTATGCTTATAAGGAGCAATTATTCTTTATTTGCACTTTTTCCATAAATGAATAATACTCTTGTTGCTGTTAATAGCAGCTGCTTTAGGTATACTTAAGTTATTATCTTGGGAAGATGGGAGTCTAAAAGTTGTGTTGTCTGTGACTCTATGCATTTACTGATTCAAAATTATCAGTGAAAAAAAAGTAAGTGGTCTGTGAGTTGACGTATAATATCCCCATGGGCAGAATATAGCAGCTGCTGCAAAATCGCAACAGAAAAACAATATAAAACTGTTCAGATCATAATTTATTTTTTGCTTTGCAGCCTATGGATTTCTCCTGAAAGCATAAAACAAAATGGTAACCATAAATGTACAAAATGTAAACCATATTTTGTATAAAATAGCTCTCTGTGGATGCATTGATGTTGTTGAAGAATTTGAAAAGGGGATTATCAAATAAGATCATGTATGCAAAATGCCTAGCAAAAGCCTCACAAATAGCTGGAATCATAATAATTAGAGGCTCTTGTTCCATTTATCAAGAAGCAGTAATAGATTAAGGAATAAGGTCAATACTCCTTTACTAGCGTGTCACAGGAACAGCCAGACAGTGAAATACCAGGCTGTTGCTTTAGTGGAAACATCATGGGGTGAGCTGTCTGCTCTGCATCCCTAGCTGACTATGTCAGGGCCTGAAAAACAACTTAGGGTTCTCTCCTTCAACCGATGCTGTGGGCCAAAGTGTTCAGCAATGAAGCATTAATACCTTTTGAGGGTAGAGCATCCACGTTTTTCTATTTTACTTAATTTGGATTATATCTCCAGCACAAATTTGAAAGAAAACTTCAGGGGGCAGTTTTGGCTGGGATCTGGCATCTGGTTTCTTTGGGAGCCTCAGAGCAATAGGACTTTTGGTAACCATGGTGACATTGCAGTTTCAAGACTCTATTGGACAATACAGGACATAGCCGGCAAAGATGAATGGCCTTAATGGTGGGGATCGTTCAGCTTTCACCATCTTCTTGTTTTACACTCCTTCCTCCTCCTGTTAGGCACAGATGGGGTGAATTCTTTAATTAAGCAAGATATCTTGTTTGGACAAATTTAGACTCTATTTATTAACTGAGGGGTTTTTTTCTCCCTTCCTTCCTTTCTTCCTTCCTCCTCCCTTCCCACTCCCTCCCTCCTTCCCCTTTTTCTCTCTTGGCATCCTAAGGCCTTGCTTCTTACTGTATTCAAATCATTCTAGGTCCAAACCTTAGAAGCACATACTTTATTTAGCTTGTCTCCTGTTATGAGCTGAATTGCGTCCTCCGCTTACCCCGTTCATATATTGAAGTCCTAAGCCCTGTATCTCAGAATGTAAGTGTATTTGGAGATGGGCCTCTAAAAAGGTAATTAAGGTTAAATGAGGTCATTAGGGTGGATCCTAAACTAATGACTGGTGTCCTTACAAGAAGAAATTGGGGCACAGACAGACACAGAGGAAGGACCATGTGAGGACACAGCGAGGAGGTGGGCGTCTGCAAGCCAAGGAGAAATCAACCCGGCCAACACCTTAACTTCGGACTTCCAGCCTCCAGACTATGAGACAATAGTTTTCTGTTGCTTAAGCCTCCCAATCTGTAATACTTTGTTATAGCAGCCGTTGCAAACTAATAGATCCTCTTAGATTCTTACCTTTTTGAAAAAATATGAAACACTTCAGGAATTTGTACCTCATCCTTGCACGGGCGCCATGCTCATCTTGTCTGTATGTTCAGTTTTAGTGTATGTGCTCCTGAAATAAGCACTCCTCTTAGATTCTTTAACCCTCAAATACCGAAGTTTTTTTTTAAAAAGTTGGCTTCCCTAGACTTCAGGTCTCCTCTCTGCCGTTGCCACACCCCACCGTTGCAGCACACTTGGCATTTGCCTGAGTGTGAGCACAGAGTGAGTCACAGCATTTCTGACCAGTTTTGTGGCACTTCTAACAGGTCCGGCACACTAAGTCATTTTCACGTGGAATATCACCATGCATACATCAGCACGATCAGGAAACAGAACAAACTTAAAATGGTGGCGTGTGGGCAAGGAAGAAAGCAGACCATGACGAAAGAGAAAATTTTGGTCTAAAACGCTTTAGAGCTTTTGTGCTGGCAAAACTTTTCTCCCTCAATCGGTTGGTCACGTATCTACAGAGCTCATTAAAATTCCCGCGTTTGGATGAAAATACTGAAATACTGCAGATGGCAGCATGACATTACACATGATTATTTTAGAGCAAAACCACTGTGTACTGTCCTCCTTTAGTATTTCTTTTTTCCTTTTTCTTTTTTCCTAGTGGGCAGATTACTGGAACCTTTATAAAATGATTATTTATGGTGAAAACTTGGAAAAGCGATTATGCCTGTTTTTCAAGTTCACTCCCATGGCCTGTGCTACAAAGTTCCAATCAGTAACATCCCTTTGCAGAGCCTCCAGGCGAATACATTGTTATTCTAACTCCCCACCTGGAGGATCCCAACATTAGATGTGAACATATTTTGAAATTAAATCTCTGAGATGTCCCCAACCTTCTTTCAAGTCCCTAAAGATAAGCTCACCAAACGTTAGCAAAGAAATAATTATTCTCAGAAATTAAGGCAACAAAGTGATGAGACTGTGAGCTGCCATTCAGAGTGAGACACATGTGCTACTGTGACGAATGGACAGACACAGTTCAATGTCTCCTCCATTCATTTTCTAACCAGAAAAAATTGCTTCGGGGAACTCCAGTAATGAGTGTTTTCAGCAAAACCTAAAACTCTAAACCAGGGATCAGCAAACTCTTTCTCTTCAGGTCCAGGCAGTAAATATTTTCAGCTTTTTGGGCCATGTGGTCTCTATCACAGCTCTGCTGCTGTACCCAGAAGGCGGCAGCAGAAGATACATACACCAGTAGGCGTTGCTGTGTTCCAAGAAAACTTATTTACAAAAGCAGGCGGGCAGATTTGTGCATAGGCCATAGTTTGCCAGCGTCTGCTCTGACCCTGGGTTGCTGTCCCTCTGAGGAAGATTGTTCTTCCTGTATTAGATTTCAACTCTTCTATAGCCATTTTGCCCTCCCTCATCTTTCTTTTTTTCCTTCAATGCTCCACTTTACACACATATTTCACGCATGGTCTTGTGTCATCTTTTTTGGAGGTAAAATGTTGGGTTGGGTGGAGTAGGGTACTGACTCTTGAGCTTGACATTGGAGACGAGTCTAATCAGAATGTTGGCCTGGATATATCTCATCTTTTTCTTATTTCTTCCCGTGGGGCCCATCTGGCTTCGTCTCAACCTTAGGAATTAGAGTTTAGACTTAGGACTGTACTTGGGTCAGAACTGGCCCAGTAAGTGTGAAGGTCATGGAGCAAATGCTCTTCAAGTACCTTAGAAGTAAAGTGTGCACCTATTAAGCAAACAGCCACCTTAGGGAATAAATTACATTAGTAATTATATTAGACGTCATGTGCATATGCATGTATGAACAGTGCCCTGTATGTAATGAAGTGCATTAAACAATTCTCAAAAAGGTGATGTATTTATTATTATGTTTATCAATAGTAAGGTCCCACAGATGCTAATTCCAAATACAGTTCTCTCAAGGCAAATGTCTAATCTCTAGTTGAAGATGCTCCAGATGTAGATGATGATGATGAGTTTGTATAAATCAACAGACAAGAGCTCCCCAAGGCCACCTTAAGGCAGACCTGAGACCTAGTTGGCCCCAGACTCTTTTGTTTCTTGAAGGGATTCCCATGAAGGGGATTGATTCAGTAGATTGTTTCCCACCTATTTAGACTGGAGCAGACCCCAGAAGAGTAGAGTGAATCATTTCCAGGAATTCTCCATGGTAAACTTCTTCTGTGGCAGGTAGAGATGGAAGGATGCTTTTGATAGCTTCTGGCCTCACTTTAATTCTAAGCTTTTAAGAACATTATAAGAAAGATGCTCTTGAGCACGAAACTGAAACTAGTTAAGGATATCTCTTCTGTCACACAAAATCCACTGAGACTACTCTTGATATACTTTGTATGGATTAATTCATGAATAAACTCCATCACCAGCATGTGGACTATGATGCCCATTGACTGCAAAGTCTGTGGTTGGCTTTCAAACTTTAACCTGGGGTCATTTGAATTCCCGTTTCATGCCAGCTCTCGTAGGGAAGGCATTCCAGAGGCTTACCTATATACAAGGAAGGACCTTGTCTATTTTCATCTTTCTTGCCAGTTTGGAAATCTTATTGCGTGGTTTGGGTTGCAGAAATACACAAAACTAAATAGACAAACCTGCTTCATGGAATAGCCTTGGAAGTGTGGTTGCTAAGATATAGATAGGCTTTATGTAGGGAGAATTTCCATTATAAATATGCTCAAAGGACCAGAAAAGTGAATTCACATGAAAAACATACATTGGGTGCTTGGAAAGTATGCTTTCTATAGACAGGGTGTGTAAAACCATATCAAGGGAATTCTCCAGAGGAAGACTTGAGAATTTGCTCAAGACCTTGGGATGAAAAGTACTACTAACTTGTTTTAATTATTGGCCAAAACTTGATGGAAAAAGGAAAAAATTCCACAGATCATACAAAGTGGACTTTTTTTCTCATGCTCCACAGAGGTTTTTTGGGAAACATTTTCCATTTCCACCCTTATTTGGCAAGCTTTGAATATGGATATTCACTGCATACCTAAAGATCTTTCATATTTTCTAGAACTTGCTGTCCAATGTGGTAGCCACTAGCTCCATGTTGCTATTAAGCACTTAAAATGTGGCTACTGTGATTGAGGAACTGAATTTTTAATTTTATTGAATTTCAGTTAATTTGAATTTAAATAAGTTGTGTGACTTTTGGCCACCTCATTGGGACTGCACAGATATAGAACATTTCCATCATCATAGGTCTCGTCATTTAGACCACACCCTGTTCTAGACTAAATTTTTGCTCACCGGGTTGTTTTTAATAGTGAAGCCTTAGTTTTCCACCAACTGACAAGTTCACAAAAGAATGCTATGGAGACGACAATTCAACTCCCATTTTGTTCACACCTTTTTAAGATTTGCTCAAACTTCTTTTCACCCCTCTATTCTCAGTAATTCTTTTTATTTTTATCGGTAGCATTTTATATTTAGTTCCTTCAAATGTTATTAAATCCAAATATACTAATTTCAGGAAACGCTTCTTTAATTAGTTGTGCTTGAAATGTCCTCACTAATCCTTACTGTAATAACTGAATGGCCAATTTCATGCTCTCAGTGGGAAAAACAAAAAAAGAGAAAGACCTGTTTTCTTTATTCATGCCAAACAGGAAAATGCTGTGGTTTAGCAATAGAAAATTAAGAGGGAGGAAGCTTTTTAGGTCTTCAAAATGGAGTAAAAAACACAAACGTCAACTTACCTTGCTCCTCTCCCTAATTTCTCAGAAGAATATCTGTGAATACGTAACTTTGGCTTTTTTAGGGTCTCACTTTAAGTACACGTTAGCTTCAGGAAACAGGGATCTTTATTTTTTAATCATGGTTTACAACATAACGTACATGTTTCAGGATGCGGCTCATGTTCTCAAAATGGTCATATACCGTCAAAACGGTCATTTTCTGATAATTCTATCAGGAAAAACTATTTGAAAGCAAAATGCCCTCAGGGTGCAATTCCCCCGAGGGCACCAGTCATGTCTGTTTTGTCCCCATGGTAAACCCACGGGCCCCCAAAATGCCTGTGCTGTTGCTGGCTCTATGGAATGAATATATTTAAATGTGAGAGCCAGGTCAGGTAATATTATTAGGGGGTGAGAAATGTTATAACTACAGAAATGTTGGGGATCAAGGCCGTCTCTGTATGATTTTCCTGGGCCCTAAGCCCTGCTGGGGTCCACACAGCAACTTGGAATAAGTAGCCCTGAGCGTAGGGAGCCAGGCTCCTTGTCTCTCCATGTGACTATTTCCTGTGCCACAGAAAGGGTCTTGAAAGGCAGACCCTGGTGTCAAGAGACTGACAGACTGAACTGTCCTGGCGGGCATTTACACTTTTGAGAGGGGAGTGATTCCCTAGGTCCGCATCACCACTCAGTTTCCCATTCCCTTCCCTTTGTCTTGTCTCATCCTTACATTGTCAGAAAAATACATCAGCAACACTGCACCCCACTCGAAAGATTGCCAACACCTTCTCCAAATAATAGTGATCAACATATTTAATAGACTTCAGCTGTCTTTTTGGGAGATCTGGCAACAAATTTAACTGAACCAAAAGTCAGATTTTTAAAAAGGAACACTGCTTTATTGCTTAAATGTGGAAATAATACAGACCACCAGCTAAGCTAATGGTTTTTTGAGAAAAAAACTTAAATGTGTCCGTTACTACTTCAATAGCACATACATAAATGGAAGGTGACAAAAATGACTTGTATTCATAAAGGGGCTCATATTTGCCGGCAAGTTACTGCTGTTCTGAACCTTCCGCCTGCAGCAATGATCTGATCGTCACCTGAAGGAGCCACTGAAAGACAGTCCACAGACCCTTCAATAGCGCTGTCGTGAAATAAATAAAAACACAGCGCAATTCAACTTTTCCGTCTCTTCCTCTAGCCTGCTCTTGACTTGTGTTTCTCCCTGAATGTGATTCTTTATTTTCTGCTTCCCTTTCACCCTTCTTGGAGGCTGGGGTATATTGCTGGCTAGACTCCAATCAGCAATGGAAACTTCTGAGAGTTCTGGCAGACCCGGCCTGTGAAGTTATGCAGAGCTTGGTAAATTTAGCCCATTTAGCTGAGATGTGAGAGCAGTA